CAAACCCAACTTTTTTAGTCTCTTTGTTCATTCCCTGACAGATTCAATGCCCTAAATTATCGTGCGTTATAACTGACCTTATAAAGTGTATCAAACACGCACAAGGGAGACAAAATCTCGCGCCTTTCCTCTCTCCCCCTGACGGCCGCCCCTTCCACCAGCCGGACGGAGAGCACCTCTTCGCAATCAATATCCTACGAACACATCAGCAAGACTGCACCTACGAGCCAGCAGCGGCAATGCCCCCGCAATAACGAAAAAACAAACGAAAACAATCAAGCAATGAGGTCGTCTTACAATGCCCAGATAGCAGCTCTTTTCATCGACTGCCGAATCCAAACATTCGCAACTGAGCTGGCATGCACTGCAGCACTATAAGTACGCGCCTGACCAAGACGGAGAACTACACGGAATCATAAATACGCTTTTAGGGCACCATTGAGGTGCAACAAATAGATTTCCCTAACGCCTACGACAAAGATGAATTAACTACGAAAAGCAGTGATGAGTGGATTAAAACAAATCTAATAAATCTAATGAATGAAAAAAATCAACTCTACTCACCTGAATCCACCTTTACCAAGTAATGAAAGCAACAAGTAGCGCTTGTTGAGCATCTCATGATCCTTATAGCGTGAATCTCTTTCGTTACTTGCCCTTTTGAGTTCTCTCAAATGAAGTTGTCTCTCTCGATCCAACTTTTCTTTTTCGGCCAATACTTCTAGCTCCTCTTTTTTCATATGCTCTCGACGAAGCTTATAAATTTCATCCTAAAAATCATAGGACTTTTCCAGAAGAAGATTAGTGTGATTAAACAACTCACTAATTCAATGTACTCCTGATAATTGATTTCTTTCGGCTCCTCAGGTCGGCGGAACACAGCATCGTCACCTGATGACGTTGATGGTATTGATCCATCTGTTTGAATCGCTGCTAGCTGTGCCGATAATGAATTCGCAGCCGACCTTAAATAAGTGAACAGAAACCTAGCATTGGATTAGTGGTAATCACACATAGTAAAGAAACATTCGTTTATTTACAAACCTTTTCGGCGTTGTTCCTTCTTTGGCTATCCCAACTGGTTTTCGCTTCTTCAGCAAAGCTGATGCATTCGCTATTTCATTCCTTTCATTTGCTATCTGTTGCATCTTCTTGTCGAGCTCTTCCTGTGCCCAACCATCAACCTACAATATATGATGTCAAAGTTGGAAACTCTAAACAAACACCGAAAGAGCACAACATCATCAGAATTTACCCAAACTTCTCGGAAGGAATCTCCATGACGAACGAGCTTATACTGACCTATCCGTGGTGTGTTTTCTGTTGTCTAAAAAAGATTAAATCTCTATACACATGATCAAAATTCTTAATGAAAATTCTTTTGTAAACACAATCCGATTGCGCCATGCTTATATGTGCTGGGATAAGGTTTCACCTTATCACGGATTGCTTTCCTTTCCATCGTATTTTTTTCTATAAGTAACCGTTTCAGAGCCTCTTTTGCAGACTCATTCTTTCGCCGTTCGTTTGCAGTCTGAAAAGGAACAATATAGTGTACAGGTCAAAGCGCATTGGTGAAGGAACAAAAACATGACAGATGGAGAAAAATAAGAGCTGATACCCGATTTTGCTCTTCAATGAGTTGGCTTCTAAGTTCTTGTATTAAACGATCTCTCTTTGTGATCTCTTCAGGAGGGGCAGGATTCAGTTCCTGGAAGAAACGTTTCTGCTGCACAAAGTAGAAGGAATAAAGCGTAAAACATACGTCGAAATCTGTCTGAGTTTCGCAGTCAGTTCGCAATCGTGAAGACGCAGCAGGAGTAGGAGGGCTTTGGTTTGAATTGCTATTGGAGTCCGATGAATAGTGAGGATTCGTTGGAGTAATTCGACTCGATAGAGTGGGTGATGTTGTCATCCAACGCTGTAAAGCGATATTCCATAAACGCTGCTATTCATGTGAACAAGGAGGAGCGAGGCAATCAATAACAAGAACGAACCGTTCCCGCACTTCCTCCCAACGACGTTATATCATTGCCATAATTGTCTCCATTGGAATTGACTGCAAACCGCTTCGGACTGGTTTGACCCTTCAAAGGTAATGGTCAACAAATACGCCAACAGTAGTGCTGTTTTAGCATACCCTTATGAAATCTGTGATCTTCCTTTCAGACTTGGGCGTTTCGTCACCTCTTCGTCGCTTTCGTATGGATTTCTTCTCAGTGCCTGGGCGATTGCATCTGAATAGTGTAACAAATCACTTCAAAGTTTACTTTTGTGGATCTTCTGCAGAACAGAACGATGCCTGGTAAGTTTTAAAGAACAGCCGGCTATATTCAATATAGATGTGCAGAAGTTTGCTTTTCGGGGAAATTCAATCTAATCCAGGAAAGGGGAGCTTTTGGTGGGACAGTTGCTGTGCCTACAGGAATACCAAGGGGGAGAAAATCCACGGAGACCTTAACCTGTCGCTTTAGCGTTTACACTCACCTTGGAGCTTCCATACCCTGCAAAAATTGGATTACTTTAGGCGAAATAAACAAGCGTATCACATGCCCCCTTACTGGATGAAACCCACATTCCACATCCTGCCCACCATTTCACGTAGCTTTATGAGCTGCACAACTGACCAAGGAAATATCAAGTAAGTATAATCTATCAGACCATCTTTGTCAAATGTACCCTTCTTGCTTTAAACCGTGAACGAAACGCTTTCAGTTGGTGTTCAAGCTTAGGGAAGAATAACACATTAAAAGAACAACAGAGACGCCAGTCTTGGAGTTTCCATCAAATTCCAAATTAGGAAATGAACAAAAACCAAGGCTCTGGTAACTGTTCCACAAAATTCATTCTATTTCGAGCCTACACGGCCGATTTTCTGATCCGCACCTCTATCTTGTTTTTTGGTTGCTTTGATCTCATGTGTAATTTCTTTGAAAGAAGACTAAGAAAAAAGAAAACTACGACAACAGATCTAGAACACCAGCAGCCACATAATAACAGACATCAAATTTGACGCTTCAAAAACTAAGCGAACCTCCCAGGCGTTCCATCGGGTTCTCTATCCGAAATCGAGCCAGCACTACTTAAATTGCTGCACTCATTCACTAGTGGTGCAGTAAATACACGCATTTGACCATCGACGCTATCCTCATTGAATGGTTGTAGAGCAACATCAGAAGGGCATACAATTGGGAGAGACGCTGATCCGTCACCACTAGGAAGATTTTGGGACTGGAAAATGGCGTATTAATGTAGAAAAAAATGGTCAAGAAAAAAGTGCAACAGCTAGAAGGGAAACTTTGAGGCCAGAACACTACAGAGAAAAATCTCAGTTTCGACGAAAATCATGGGAAAATTTATTCCGCTCCAGCTCAGAGTTAAACTAAGATTTAATACTTTCAAAGTGGAGGTCGCGCTAATGCTTAAGAACTTCGGCGGTGTAATTGTCAGCAGCCATCGAACAAAATGTGTCAATTAATTGTCCTCAACAAAACTGTGAAAAAATGCTCATGGAGCAATCTCTGTGGAGAATTTTGTTGATATTGCATGAAATGAGTAAAGGTCTTGTCTTTGCAGGAACGCGCTGGCAAAAGATGACACGCGCACGAGAGCTAACCTGCAGGATATCCACCCCCATAGGTACATCACAACATAGTGGAAACAGTTTCACGATAGTTATAGATATGAAAGAAACATTGGCAGAGTGCTGGCAGAGACTAACAGTATGAATGAAAATCGTGCAGACTCCAATACGAAGTAAGAGGAAATTGCAGGTCGCTAACGTAATTCTCAAATCAATAAAACGTACAAAAGCGATGACGGTGTTACGGAACACCGACTGTGCCCAATCTCACACAACATGACAAAAGTAAATTAACTCACAGTTGCTGTCGGTAGCGTCCTTGAAGCTCTTGGGCCCGTATTAAATAGCTTCTGCTCCAGCTGTTGATGATGAAGTTGATCAAATCGTTGCTGTTCACCGAAATCTAACGGGTCAGCCATGCTGGTTGTCATCTTATCATCTAGTTTGTCATCTAGGAAACAGAATATAGACGTCGTTAGGAGAAGGAACCGCTCACGTGACGCGCCGCAACAACGAACGAAAATCGGACACGCCCCGCCCTTACCCGGCACACGGCCTTCGTTTGCACAAAAAAAAGCTGGAACGGCCTTCTCTTGACCGGCAATTTAGGTAAAAATGCCCCAAAAACTGAAACGCACCAAACTACAAGTTAACGACGTAGCTGACAACAAAACAACTCGGAAAAATCATTAAAATCAATAACTTGCCACACAGTTGTATACATGACACCAAAAAACATCGGTCGATGCGCCGGCGCAAGACGCGCGCGGAACATTCCAAGTGCCGTGGAGGCCGCACGCGGACCTGGGTACTGTAGCTAGTGACTTAGTGGCTGCAGGCCATATCCAGCTTCATTTGCACGTGATTTTCATTTTCGTTTGAACTGTGGTGTTGGCGCGCTTGATGGTTTGTCATTGAGAACAAAAAACGTCCATAATTGAAAGATCAGGCAGTAGTGAGATTATTTGCGTTTTGAGGGTGTTTTGAATGACAAACATTGGAAAAGAAGAAAAAGAATTGTGCTCTACACATTTCCTAGCAGGTTAAATTTCTTAGAACTGTTTCGTATTGTTAGTCTAATGTATATTCCCCTCTTATTTCTATTTTCTATCTTTCTTCTTCTTTCTATCATTTCCATTCCTACTGGCCACTTTGAATCCAAATACATTACTTTTGCTTGCGCTAACTTCGTTCACAGAGCAGTAGTTGTTCTTTCGATAAGTGTTATGAGCCTCTCTGTTCATTGTTATAGTTTCGCCAGTTATGAAGGGTCTGTGAGATGTCTCGACCGGGAAGGAAGACGACCGCGGATCGGACTCCTAGCTCAAGGGACCAACGTTTATTTGCTAGTATTCAAAGCACGTTAAATGGCAGTGGAGTGTCGACAACTACTCCAAGTTCACGTAAACAAAAGGCAAAGCAAAAAGTTAACGAACCGATTGAGGTAGGTGATTGGTTGATAATGTGTTGCTGACGCGTACCTGGTTCCTTAAGCTGGTGTATGCTCAATAAAACGTGAAAGATCATCATAAAGCAAAGAACTGTTAACTTTGTCGTTGTAAGTGACTACGTTTCAGGAACTTAATGATCTTGACGCTATCATCACGCAAATATCGGATCTCAAGATACGTTCGGATCGGTCGGCCTTGCAGATAAGTTGGTGGTTTGAGAATATGATAGCGATACTGTAGTATTCCTTTCTTATATACTCGTTTTAACGTTTCTCTACGATCTTACGTCTTGAATATTCCTTCTGTAAACCAGATCCTCTTTCCATCTGTAACCGCGCTAACTGCTTCAGCAATCTATGTCATTACAATTTTTTCGCGTCCAGCCAATCCACTGCGACTTTTGCATGTGATATCTCTTTATCGTGTGCGACCTTCACTTACTACGCTTTGCCACATACAGTGCGACTCGTCGTTGAATGTTTCCGCTCGCAGAAGCCTGGAACCAATTAGATGCTTAGCTCCACAGCTTATCTCTCTAGCATTTCACGAATTCATTGTTTTACTGCAATTTCCTTCGTCGTAAGACAATAACAAATTCGGTTTTATTTTTGGTTCTCTTTTAGTAGTCGACCACAACCAGTCTTTGTCCTACATTAGTGTACTTGGCACCCGATTCATCCTGTTTGTCAAGTCTGCTCTTCCGTTTTGATGCTTCGATCATTTCTTAGTGGCCCCTTTGCAGTATGCGGGATGCATTCTCAAGATTAGGCCGATATCGTAGCTCGCGAATCGAGCGATTCGCTAGCGTATTCGCTCGATTCGCAACCTATGATATCGGCCTTAGACGGGTACCGGTATTTGTAGTCCGGGAATCTGCAATACTTTAAATATGCGATGCTGCGATGTCTCTACTTGTAGCTGTGCATCGCGACTCTTACCATTTTCTAGTAACATTTATCATTGGCAATGTGGGGACGCAATCTCACCACGTATGCCGCTACTCGACTTCCGTATCCCACGCTTTTTTCAGATACTACGCGAATTGAATTAGTACACGTGTGGGCTGGGCTGTACACTATTATTCACGGTGTCATCATTGCGGATAGGGATTCTGATGTGGTGCAAAAATGGTAGCATTTTGCGAAAAATGACCCTATTTCTTCGATATCAACCCTTTTCCCTTTCTTAGTATAAGCAGAGTTGCTGAACTAGTAATGGATAATGGTATCAACCGTCGTTCCGTTGCGTTGAATTCCTCGAATGGGCGTCAGCAGTCCATTTGTCCCTGTCGCGTGTTAGAGAACCTCACTCTGCCACAGGGAACGATTATCTCGTTTCTCTCGATCAGACTTGCGAATGAGTCCGACAATCGGGCCAGCAGTCATCCTTTAGAATACAGATGAATTGTCGATGATCCCTGTAGTTCAAAGATCACTACAAAATCATACAATCCCGCAATCTATCTCCGATTAATTAACAGTGCGGAAGCGGTCCTTATCTTTGATCGTCAGCGTAGCTTGGATTTCCGGGGTACATTCTGCACTTGCGTGTGGGGGAATCTCCAAGCCGCACCGCGTTCGATAAGGCCGATGTCAGACTCGCGATTCGCTACTAGCGATTCGCGCGATTCGCTAGCGTCCGCGGTCGCGTTGCGGTACCAGCCAATTGAGTGATTCACTGGCCGCGACGCGACCGCAGACGCTAGCGAATCGCGCGATTCGCAAAGTCTGACATCGGCCTAACGCTGACTGCATGCTCAACTTATTTGCGCAGCTTGGCTTGCATTCAAGTTACTGGGAAGTGGTTTTGGTTATGAGAGGCGGTTTAAAGTCTCCTTCGGAACCACTCTACGTTCTCAACATCTTTCTCGAAGTCAGTTGAAGTGGTGCCGAAAATGGGTTGCGAGTACGAGCCAATATCGCTATTGCTTTCTGGGGCCGTATGCAACAAGCCCCGAAGGTCTTCGGGGATATATCCCCGAAGTCGTATGCAACAAGCCCCGACGATCGTCGGGGACATATCCCCGAAGTCGTATGCAACAAGCCCCGACGATCGTCGGGGACATATCCCCGAAGTCGTATGCAACAAGCCCCGACGATCGTCGGGGACATATCCCCGAAGTCGTATGCAACAAGCCCCGACGATCGTCGGGGACATATCCCCGAAGTCGTATGCAACAAGCCCCGACGATCGTCGGGGACATATCCCCGAAGTCGTATGCAACAAGCCCCGACGATCGTCGGGGACATATCCCCGACGACCTTCGGGGCTTGTTGCATAGGGTCGTCGGGGAGGATTCGTCGGGGATGAATCCCCTAGTCTCGACTAGGGGGATTCATCCCCGACGGCCTCCAAACGTACGTGTTACTTGAGCTAACTCAGTGGTCAGTCAGTTGGACTGTCGACGCGTAAGCGTTGCGGTCCAGCCGACCTCGGTGATGAAACGATTTTACGTATATATCCCACCCTGCGCCGGTGCAATTGCGTACCGCAAGCGATTACAGTACGCCCACGCCTAGTTCTACTGGCGTTGACATTTGTAACTGATGATCACAGGCGGGGCTCGTGATGAAAGGAAATGGGAAGACTAATCAATTCATAACTAGCACAGCTCCGAATATTGTACTGAGTTGAGCCATGCATTTCTCCTTCTCAGATAGGTGACGGGTACCGACAGATGCTCTACATATCGTTGGAAAACCATTGCGCGCCTGGAAACCACTCTAAATTCTTATGTCATTTTCTTCTTAACATGCAAAATAGGGTAATGTGCTAGGGTATTTATAATGTTCCGCACTAGAACAATCATTGATGCCATTATGCATTGTACTAGTACAGTGAGGGACTCGAGGGGACGAAGCAAAATTTAAAATATGGCAAAAAAAAAAACTGAGACGAAGAGAGAGTTTTTAATTAACGTAGAAGGTAGTTTTCATCATAGAACTGACTTAGAATAGTTGCGTCTAACAAGGAAAACACCAAAAAAAAAAAATTAGATAGTTATTACGCGAGTTGTAGTTGATTTATTCGCAATTGTAGATATTTCCATAGACATAGAAATCTGATACGGAGGTATCCTTGTGAGGATGACTTGTGCTGAAAGTGAGAGCGCATACTTGTAGATGATAGGCACGGGATATGTTCATTCTTTCTGTAAAAGATGCCGTAAAATGTGATTCAGTTCCATTCGAGATAATCCGCTTACAGGAGCGTTTGCGTTACCGTTGCGAATCAATTTCTTGAGGCGCTAGTGTACTCAAAAGGGGCATGCTCACGCTGACTGAGCCTTGGAGAAGAGGGTGAACTTTGAGGGTAATGAAAACTGCTTACACATCCCCCTAGACTCACAGCCTAGTACTAGGGGGACCAGCAGGGGCGGGGAGGAGCGTGATGACTTGGTGCTTTTATTCGCCAACCTTGTGTGGGATTTTACAGCTTCTGCGTTGGAAGATAATAGCAGTTCTTTACGTAAGCTGTGAGCAAAAGCTTAACTATTGCGCTATAAATGGGAAAACTGTTCTCCACGATTCCAATCATTTTGCATTAAATGTTATGTTCAGTGTTCGCTTCCACTTTTGCTGCATAGGAGATAGGAATTTTTTATATCCACTACCACACAAATATTCACTGCTGACGTCTCGAAGATATATGCAAAAAACTGCTAGGCTAGATATAAGTCATCTAGTCTTATTATTTCCTCTCATCACAAGTTCTACCCGTAGTTACTCAATCGAAAACAGGGTGCCAACGATAGCGGAACTAGCCGTGAGAGTACTGTAATCGCTTGCGGTACGCAATTGCACCGGCGCAGGGTGGGATATATACGTAAAATCGTTTCATCACCGAGGTCGGCTGGACCGCAACGCTTACGCGTCGACAGTCCAACTGACTGACCACTGAGTTAGCTCAAGTAACACGTACGTTTGGAGGCCGTCGGGGATGAATCCCCCTAGTCGAGACTAGGGGGATTCATCCCCGACGAATCCTCCCCGACGACCCTATGCAACAAGCCCCGAAGGTCGTCGGGGATATGTCCCCGACGATCGTCGGGGCTTGTTGCATACGACTTCGGGGATATGTCCCCGACGATCGTCGGGGCTTGTTGCATACGACTTCGGGGATATGTCCCCGACGATCGTCGGGGCTTGTTGCATACGACTTCGGGGATATGTCCCCGACGATCGTCGGGGCTTGTTGCATACGACTTCGGGGATATGTCCCCGACGATCGTCGGGGCTTGTTGCATACGATCTTCGGGGATATATCCCCGAAAACCTTCGGGGCTTGTTGCATACGACTTCGGGGATATATCCCCGAAGACCTTCGGGGCTTGTTGCATACGGCCCAACCCACATTGCTTTCTGCATCCATCCAACCTTGTCTTCTAAGCTAAGCCTGCTCTGAAGTTATTAGTAGTACTTTATGGCATCCTTTAACGCTTTCGACAGCTTGTTATTTCATGAACATTTCAGAGAGAAATATATCAGCATGCGGATTCTTAAGTCAGATGAGTGAAGATGATTGGAATGAAATATGCAAAAGCCTTGTCGGAACAGCACTGACAGATGGAGAAACTGACTTTGTGGTTGACCTCTTCATTCCTTTGATGGGTTAGTTCCTCTAATGTCTCTATTTGCTAAGATTATTTTTTTGTATTGCGAGCGTTTTTGCAGTGAATAGTGTACTGATTGTACGGTTTACGAACTACTTGATTTTTCCTCAGTGGTCCTGCCGCGTTGGCTAGAGCACAGACTATTAGAGAATGCCTTGGAAAGGAGAGGATCCTGATTGTACTTGATTACCCTCCCCTTCAAAAACGAGAAGAGCGTCGGGTGCAGACCATACACCACAAGTGACGACGGCCTCACAAAATGTAAATGTTTTCTGCCAATGAAATGATTAGCCTGTTGCAGTTGTATTCTATCAGTTGTCACTAATTACAACTATCATTTACCAAAAATCAGCTATCACTATGAACCACTACTAACCAGATTTACTTGGAGGCCGTCGTCACTTGTGGTGTATGGTCTGCACCCGACGCTCTTCTCGTTTTTGAAAGAGGGTATCTACTGAGAGGTTCAGCTTTCAATCACTTTTACCCGTACATGCGCTATTCGCGTGCCTTGTAATACACTACGTCTCTCACTCTCATATAAACATTCCATCTTCCACGTTTTCGCCAGTGCGCTAGTGCCTCAGACACTTCGACTGGAGGGGGGGGGGGCAAATTTCCTATGCTAGGCGTCAACCACCGCCTGCGGCCAAAACGATTGACCCTTCATGACTCTCTTTCGGTGATTGCTAAATTTCGCTTTTGCTGACGCGACTGCAGAATCGCGATAGCGAACGCGGAGTCTGACACAACACTATTCTATTAGTGTCGCAAGAGTCCAGTCGCCCGACGAAAGTAGAGACGCGAGGCGAGCTTCCGAGTTTTCGTGCCCGCTTGCTGCTTAGCGTCAATTCATGGAGGATATTGGATCTTGCCACATGCCATTGCTTTCACAGCGTGCTACGTTATCCGTGTACCGATGTCAGCTATCAAGTATTGGTAGTGGTTCATCCATCTTAGGCCGAAGACATTGCGAATCCAGCGAATCGCTGGATACAAGCGTTGCACCAGCGAATCGGTAGTCGCAAAGTGACATCGCCTTGGATCTTATCTGAAGGGTTATGTTGGTTTGGAACACTTAAGGCAAGCCAGGGGGAATACTCTAACGAGGAATGCTCAATTGGTCAGTCCGGCCATTTGTAATGAGGTGTAGTCCGCTGCACGCGTCTTGCGACGCTGAGCTCAAATCCGTTTTCGGTTATCTGCGGAACGATTCTCTGAAAGAAGTTACGAGGGATTCTTCTCACTGTGGCTTTCTTACTATGG